CAGCAACGTGGACAGAGCTGGAGATTTTCATACTAAGTGAAGTAAGTCAGACAGAGAAAAACAAATATCACATGATATCGCTTATATGTGGAATCTTAAAAACAATTACACAAATGAACTTATTTACAAAACAGAAACAGACTCACAGACTTAGAAAACAAACTTATGGTTACCGGGGTGGGGGAAGGGATAGATTGGGAGTTTGGGACTGACATGTACATACTGCTATATTTAAAATAGATAACCAACAAGGACCTACTGCATAGCACAGGGAACTCCGTTCAGTACTCTATAATAACCTAAATGGGAGAAGAATTTGAAAAAATAACAGATACATGTATAACTGAATCACTTTGTTGTACACCTGAAACTAACACAACATTGTTAACTATACTCCAATATAAAATAAAAATTAAAAAGAAAAAAGATCAATGGTTGCCAGGGCTTTGGGGGAAGGGAGAAGGGATGAATAGGTGGAACAAAGGGGATTTTTAAGGCAATGAAACTCTTCTGATACTGTAATGGTGGATATATGTCATAAAACCCATGTATAACACAAATAGTGAACCCTAACGTAAGCTATGGATGTTAGTTAATAATAATTTATCAGTATTGTCTTATCAGTTTTAACAAATGTACCACACTAAACATAAGATGTTAGTAATAGGGAAAACTGTGTACATGACCAAGGATGAGGAAGTATATGGGAACTCTGTACATGCTGCCTAATATTTCTGCAAACCTAAAACCGCTCTCTAAAAGTCTATTAATATTTTTTACATTAGGTGCGGACAAATACCGTTTGATTCCACTCATACAAGGTACCTAGAATAGTCAAATTCATAGTGTCAGAAAGTACATTGGTAGATGCCAGGGGCTGGGGGTGTGGAGGTGGGGAGTGGAAATGGGGAGTTAGTGTTTAATGGGGATAGAGTTTCAGTTTAGGAAGGTAAAAAATTCAGGAAATGGATGATGGTGAGAGTTGCATAACAATGTCAATGTACTTAGTGCCACTGAACTGTACAGTTAAATATGGTTAAAGTAGTATGTGTTACATTATGTGACTTTTACCACAGTAAAATAATTTTTTTTAAGTCTGTTAATATTTTTTATATGAGACTGTAACATGGATATTTTTGAAACTTGCTTTTTTCCACTACTATGTTCATATATTATTAACATATTTCCAGGGATTCGGCCTGGACAGGGTGGCGATGGGAAAGTTAGTCAAGGATAGAGATGAGGCTGTGGAAGGAGGATGATTCAGAGGATGTGGAAATTTAGGGGCAGGGGATGTTTTATTCAAAAGATCCACAGAGGAGAGGGACTAGAACTTGAGTGGACCAACAGACTAACTAAGCCCTTGAGTCTGAGCATCTCCAGCAAGCTGGGAATTTGAGCAGGGCAGGGAATTTCAGTTCATGCTCAGGGAGTCCCAGTCCCCTGCTGGCAAGAGGCTGGCATGACAGGACTGAGCAAGTCACTCTTGAGCTCAGCAACAACCTTCCTGCTAGGGTGGAGTGAGCAGGTACAAAAGACAAGCAATCATGATGGTCAGTTGTCTGAAATTTCCGTAACAGAAATCTGCTGAGGCACATGGGAGCCTGTGGGGGACCATGGGAAGGCTGGTCCACTTAAGCCAGGATGTATGCACATTAACCTTGGCTTCCCACCTGACGCTGCTGTGACCCTTCTGAGTCACATTCCTTCGCCTGGGCATCCTCCTGCATGGCTCTCAGCCCAACTCCCACCAGGCAGGGAGGATGTGCCTGTCACAAGACTTCCTATGATCTTTGTGGATGTTTTAGGAAAACACCGAGGAGTGTGGTTCAGCTGGCCTGGGCCCTGTGCCCCTCACCCTGGGGGCCACAATAGGGGCTGGGCCCCCAACCCTTAGGCACAGAATCACCATTCAGGGACCTCCCTGGTAGCGTAGTAGTTAAGAATCCGCCTGCCAATGCAGGGAACACAGGTTCAAGCCCTGGTCCAGGAAGATCCCACATGCCATGGAGCAACTAAGCCCATGCGCCACAACTACTGAGCTCACGTGCCTAGAGCCCGTGCTCCGCAACAAGAGAAGCCACCGCAATGAGAAGCCTGTGCACCGCAACGAAGAGTAGCCCCCACTCGACGCAACTAGAGAAAGCCCGTATGCAGCAATGAAGACCCAACGCAGCCAAAATAAATAAATAAACAGAAATTGTAAAAAAAAAAGAATCGCCATTCAGAGGAGGGACACATTCATGCTTCTTCCCATCTGGCTTTTCTGCATCCTGTTAGCAGTGGATACACTTTGCTAAGTGCTGAGTCCTATCAGAGGAAGAGATTCCTGCCCCCACCTCCTGGTTTGATGGTATGTTGAGCCATCTTGGGTTTCCTTAGGAAACAGTGAGGCGGGGGCATCCCACAGTCCCCCATACCACGCCATGAGGAAGCCGCAGCACTTCCTGCCCTTACTCTCTCCTCTGTGGTAGGTCAGATGGTGGGAATGCAGAGAGGTGCCACCTTCTGAGAGAAATGAGGCGTCCAAAACAGAGTTCCCTCCCAAACACTCAGGGCAGCCTCTTTGTCTTTCTGCATCCCAGTCTCTCCTCCCACCCCCAAACATGCCTGGTGTCTGAACACTAGGATGCCACACCTGCCCCCTTTCTGTGTCCCTAGTCCCATCCTCTTCCTCATGTTCTGTGCATCTAGAGTTTCTCTGTGATCTCTCTTGCTGATCCAGTGTTCCAAGAGCACATTCAACCACCCTTTTATACCCACATGGGCCCTCAGTTGGCCACCAACTCCTAGGCCCTAATAGAAACTTGCCATGGTAACTTCCAGAATCTACCTCTACTTCTGCCTTCAGCTTTGGTTCTCCATACTACTCCTTCCACCCCCCAGCCATGGCACCTTCCCAGATCCTCACTTACCCTTTTGAGTCTCTGCCCAAATTCTGTTACATGTGAGCGCAACCCTTCTTCTCCTAATACACAAAGTCTTACCTCATTAATGCTTCCTTCTTTCTACTAACCACCAGCAAAGTGTCTGTGCTTTTTCCAAGGCCATCTCACGAACTTGGATATTCACTCCCATCCCCTCAGCTCTACACCACTACATGGCTCCAGCAGTTCTCCCTGCATCATCAGTTTATCCCTCCTCGACTGCATCATTTCTGTCAACATCCAACATCTTATGTCTCTCATCTTTTAAAAAAAAAAAAAAAACAAACCCTCTCTGGGTTCCACTTCCGCCTCCAGCTCTAGCCCCATTTTTCTGCACCTCTGTGGAACAAACCTCCTTTGAAGGAATTGATTACACTTGCTATCACCACACTTGCTATCACCAGTTGCTCTCCTCTCATTCTGTCTTGAACCCACTCCACTTCACCTCCATCACACGCGAGTCTGTTCTTCTCAAGGCCATGAGGGATCTCTGTGTTGCTAAATCTAGTGGTCAACTCCATACCCTCATCTTACTTGGCCAATTCACAACTTTTCATGCAATTGATCATTTTCTCCTTGCAATATGCCAGTATGCCACACTTTTCTGGATTTCCTCCTTCCTCCCTGGCTCCTGCTTTTCAGTCTCCTCTGCTTACTTGTTCCTCTTTTTCTTCCCAATTTCTTAACATTGGAATGTCCCAGAGCCAAGTTCTTAGATCTCTCCTTCACTGATACTCATTCCTTTAGTAACCTTATCTGGTCCCACAATTATACATCCATCTCTCCATCTCTTTCTCTCTCTCTCCAGCCAGGACGCTCCCTGAGCACTATAAGCCTTCTGTGTTGAGAACAGACTGTTGGAGATAGGGTCTCAGGAAGAAGCAGGAGATTGTGAAACTATTGTAGTATTAGTAGCAGCAAAGGAGGTAAGACAAGGTCATTTTCTGAATTTTGAAGTTAGAGACAATAGGATTTACTGATAGACCAGAAGCAGACTGTTAGAAGCAAAAGTCATGGCTGACACCAATATTTCTGGTCTGAACAACTGGCAAGAGAAAGGTGCCATTAACTGATGTGGGAGCAGGTTTGGTATGTGTGATTGGGTGGTGGTGGTGGTCTAGAGAATCAGTTCACTTTTGAAACAAATACTGGACATCCGAGTATATACACTTTTGATTAGACAATTTGGGCATATGAGACTGTCTACCCCATAAGATAATGATCTCCATGGAGGCAAGGCCTGTGTCTAGGTGACTGTTGTGTCTGGCATAGTTCCTGGCACACAGTAAGTACTCAAACATTTTAATTGTTGAATGCAAGATGCCTCTCGAAGTCATTTTTATTGTGACTCTTTGGAGACATTATCATCAACTGATTTTCATTCTAGGAGGCATTTATTCCATGCAGCTGAAAGGCAGTGGGGGTCAAACAGGTAACAGGGCTACAGCAAGCTCCCAGATGGGTTACCCCTTAAAATCTAATCAATAACAACATGGTGCAGAGAGGGGAGATTCTATCAATTGCTTCTGACATCTATCATATTAGCTATGTGCCTTTGATAAACACAGAGCACCTCTTCAGGAAGGAAGCACTGTTAACACTCCTCTAAAAACCTTCCCTCCGGATTGTGGGAATATATGAAAGTTATCAATGAATTGTGCCTGTGGGGCCAAAAGTGCACTGGATTCTTGGCTACTACCTCTTGTACTACATCATGCACACTTTGCTCCTCTGGGGCCCAAAGACAACACGGGAAGCCATGACAGAAGTCAAGCCTGATCTTTACCTTCAGTGCACCTTAGACGAGGGTCTTCCTTCTCTGCTCAAGTCCCTTTATCCACAGTCCAGGGCGGAGCTGAAAGAGTTGTGTGGAATGCTGGCCCATTTGTAAAATGGGTTTAAGCTCCCATACCATATGGGAAGTACAATCTACCTCCTCTACTCTCTCCATCACATATCACGTTAAAAACAAAGAGGCACAAACAGGTGGCTCTTTGCTTAGAGGTACACAGTTTATTTGGAGAGGGCCCTGCCTCACCTGCATATTAATGGAAATGATGATGACAGCCTTCTTCAGGAGGATGCAGAAGTTTGGGAACCTATGAACTCCTTTTTCCTGGACTGGGTATTCTCCTTGTATAGACAAGTGCCTTCTGCTGAGGTGAGAGTTGAGACATGGGATGGATTTTCTGGCTGAGTGGCACAAGTCAGCTGAGGACAGTGCTTGGAGCTGTTGCAGGAAAGGCGCAGGAACCAGGATTGGCTGGACTGAAGGGAGTGTCGCTGGAGCTCATTGTCTAGGCACTGGAGGGCATCAAAGAAGGCCATGCCTTCCTCCTCCTTCTCTGACTGAGCTCCCTTCACAGGGCATTTGGTGGGAGGTGGTCTCTTCTCAACATTTTCTGTCTTGGTTTTGGCCACCTTCTCATCCTTAGAGAGGAGAATGGATTCCTTATGCCCTTGACCTTTCACCTTGGGGTTAATCCAGTGTGTAAAGTGTTTCATCTTATTTCCCAGTCCAGCTTCTGCAGCTTCTGTAAGGGTAGGGCTCTTGTGAGTATGGGCTGTCTTTACCAGACCCTGCTCTTGGCCCTACAAAGTGTGGCCCTACAAATTTTGGCCCTGCAAAGCTTGGATCTGAAAAATGTGGCTCCTTTAAATGCTAGACTTGCAAAATGTGGGCCAGCAAGTTGGTCCTGTAAGATCTGGCCCTTTAAGCCCTGAACACTCCAGATCTGACATTCTCAGGAATCCTTGTTTGAGTGAGGTCATTCAACTTGCCCTAACAGCCTTATAGACCATTCTTATCTGGTCCTTTTGTCCCAAGGAATTCTGGAGGATGCTCTAGGAACTCAAGGTAAAGGGAGAAGCTGGTGAAGGTACTGACAGGGGGCACTAAGCTGACAGGATGGAGATGGTGGCTCTAAAGATCCAGACAGATCCTTGCTAGTCCCTACTCACTCAACACAACCATCCTGGCCAAACTCAAATTTTACCTGAGAAAGATCCTGGAGATACATTTGGGAAGTCAGGGGCTCTGGGGGGTTCTACTTAGGACTGTCCCTACTGGAACCTTGGCAGGGTAGATGTTCTCTCTGGTTGGAGAGAGACTCGGCGCTGCACCCCATTCTCTGTGATTCTCTGATGCTTTGAGTTTCCCTGGGTCCTCTGTTCTCCCTGCTGGTGCAGGGAGTTATTCTCACCTTTGCAGAGGCCTGGGGCTCAGGGATCTTCCAGGCAGGGGTTGTTCACACTGGCCTCCAGCTGAACACAAGCACCTGGGCCTCTGTCATGTCCCCACTGGGCTGTGAGATCTTGGAGGCCCATGGGAAGAACCATTAGGACTGCTCTGGAACTAGCTTGCTTTTGGTTCTGCTGCACTGCACAGGATTTATACACTGCTGCTTACATGAGATTGAGCCAGAGACTCTGTTGGGCCCCCAACAGGCCCAGGCACCATCTTTGTGATTGGAGATTGGCTAGTGATTGCCAGGGCCATGGCCTTGGAGAGTGCCACAGTACAAAGAGCCCACAGTTCTGACAGGAAGGCCAAAACTTGTCTCCAGTTTCTCAAAGGCTCCCTGGGAGGGCACCTAGGTAGGTGCTAATCAAGGTGATCAGTAACAGCATCTGGTAAGGCTTACTGCTGCTGGTTAAGGCCTGTCAGTATTCAGGGCGTCACTTCCTAGTCCATGTAGGGACTGATTTCTGCCTCTATGTCTAGGGGCTTACTTTCTGGGGTGCAAGGGAGCCAAGTTGCTGCCAGGGCCCCTGGAATGCTGCAGACCCAGTGATTTGAGTCCCAACCGCTGCAGATGTGGGCAGGGACAATCCCCTAGCAGATCCTCTCATATTTTTAGCCAATATGGCTCTACAACATCACCAAGGCCTGGGAAGCAACTGTGGGCTGGCACTACTGGCCACAATAGATCAGAAGAGGCCACTATCCCCTCTGGCCTCTGGATCTGCAGGCTAGGGGACACTCACCCTGGTCAGTGTGCTGCACTGGGGCAGGGGCTGCTGGTCAGCAGGGGATAGAATCAACTGGATGGACTGCTGGATCTTCTGGGGCAGACCCCAGCAATGGTAAATCAAACGGCCAAATCAACCACTTCTGAAGGTGGAACTCCACCAGCTCAGGGCATGCTCCAGGAAAATACTACCTTGCTCTTGAGGACTGAAATGGGCTTCCCCAAACAGATAGGCCCCTAAGTCTCAGGAAACAGGCTTCAGCATGTCTCAGGGCTTATGCTGTATGGTTCTATGCATCTACAGAGATCTCTGGGCAACAGCTGGCAAGCCCCACAGAAGCTGGAGCTGCCTTTGAAGTGAAGGTGCCACTGCAAGGCTTCACACTTGGCCAGAGTCAGAAATGGGACATTGACATAGGCTTGTTGATAGAAAGATGAAGAAGCCCAAATTCAGGTATGTGGGAAGGAGGTGGGTCTGACTGAGGTAAGAGGAAATTTTAGACAGTTTGGAGATTAACAAATCATTGAAGAAAAAGAAACCAGGCTCCATTTTTGTGGCAAGATGTCTAGGGGTGGACCAGGGACTCAATATGCATAAAAGAGGAACCATAGAAAGGTAGCTGTGTTCTGCTGCAGACAGGACACTGAGGCCTCAGCATGACCCCCAAGCAATGGAAAGAGACCACTTATAAACTGAAAGATGATAGAGGGTAGAGCCAGAGTGACAGAGTTTGGGATTTGTTTGCAGTGACGTCTGCACTGGATCCATAGCGTATCCTTGAAAAACAGATAGTTTGGGTGGACTTGCTTACCTCCCATGAACTCCAGGTCAGGGAAATAAAAGCCCATCTTTTCAACAGAGGCCTTAGCGGTAGCATTCATGAAGAAAGAAGTGGTAGTGTTTTCCCCCAGGCTTGGAAAATTTGGGGGCCGTGTGACATAAGTTGCCATAGGAATCTTCCACAGATCCTGGGAGCCCTCGGGTGTAGAAATGCACACATATATATATACACATACTTAAAGATACATCAGGGATTTGGGGACACAGGAACATGAGATGAAGGGAATGAAAGGTCATGGGGTATTTTAGGTTTGTGAGCTTTGGGTTCAGGGGAAGAAAGGGAATCAGATATTCAAAGGCTGCTGGCCTTATTTCTCTGGAACACATTCAGAGTTGCTCTTCTTGTCTTGCTGGTTCACAGGAATCCTAGGCTCTTCAAGGCTTGAAGAAGACAGAGCTCCCACGTCCCAGGGTACCTCTGGCCCTTGACATTCCTGCCTTAGCTGCTGGTCGTCCGCCCAGTATTCGTGGATGCTGACTGCACTGGCAGACTTGGTGGTTGACTTAGTGGCTGACCTGGCAACTAACTGGGTTAAGGATTTCTGACTTGTTAGTTGTGACACTATGCGGGTTGCTGATGGAAGTGAAAGCTCTTTGGAGTGCAGGGAATCCTGACTCTGCTCAAAAGAGAGACTAGGCGTGGACAAAACCTCTAGGCAAGAGGAGCCCTGCGATGTCCCGGAAGAAGTAGTGGTGGTCAGGGTGTTCTCACCCGATAGCAACTGCTGAATCTCCAGAGCCACAGCGTTGCAGGTTTGGCAGCAGGGATCTGCACACAGCAGCCGCTGCACACTCCCCTCCTGAGGAAGCCAGCCCTGGCTGGGAAGGGAAACATGGCAACCGTTTGTTACTGATGGAATGACATCTGCCTCTTTTCAAGTGTGTGGCCTGGAGATTGGCCTGTAAGCTCTGCGTTCTACCCTCAGGTTGTTTTTGCCACGGCTATTCTCTAGAAACATTCAGCAGGTTAGGGCTAGCTAACCTGGGCAAAGTCTCAGACAACTGAAGGGAACGCAGGGCCTTGAGAGCCTGGGAGGTGGGTGAGTTCTCTGCTGACCTGTGCTGAGAAGCTGAACTAGGAGAAGGCAACCAGGCAGATGGGGGAGCCAATGGTTAGCTGATGGCGCAGCACCAGGAACATCACCAGATAGAACCTGGAGTCAGCCTCGTTTGGGGCTACGGAGGTCCTTGTGGGAACTCTGCATTCTGGGGATTACAGGGCATACACAACATCTCTTGGAAGCCAATCCCTATTCTCTAGAGATCTTAAGAGGGGGACAATATGACAAGCTCCTGCCTGAGGGCTGTCCCAGGAACTGGCCTCCCTGAAGACAAAACCAGAGGAGGTATGTCAGCAGGGTCCAGGGGTCTGCCCTTGAAAGGGTCTAACTGTAAAGAGAATATGAAAATGATGACTGATTTATGCACTTAATTAATTATCTATCCTCCTAACTTGTCTTGTGGTTGAGTGAAAACCCATGTAGTTTTAAATCCTGCACTAGTCAAATCCTGAATTCCAGGGCCTTTGTGAGCCTAGCCCAGAGCAGAACTGCAGGACTCCTGTCTCCTGAGACGTCTGATCCCACCCTCTCCTCTGGGAACCCCCAACCAGTGTCCAGGCTCCACTGTGCCTGGCTACCTCCCAGCCATTATGCTCCTCCCCAGCCCTGCCCCAGGCCAAGCGGAGAAATGATCACAGGCCAGGCTGGGAGTTGGGAGACTGCAAAGAGCAAGAGATCACCTTCTCATGACAGAGAGCAGCTCCCACGGCTTCTCAGCTTCTTCCCGGGAAAGTCTCCTAGCTGAGAAACCAGGAGACAGTGTTACATGGAACGGGAGAGGATTCAGGGAACATCCTACAGGAAGCTGGAGACCTTTGAATGACAGGAGATGGCAAACCCCAACAGCCAGTGCTCTGAGGCACGTCTGACTACAACTTAACCAGGTATGATGTGCTCTCCTGGACCTAATCTCCTTTGACCTTCACAACCACATTTTGAGTGAGACAGCATCATCATGCCCATTTTATGGATAATAAGACTGAGAGCTGAAGTGACGCCCACTGGGTCATAAAACTAGTAAATGACACAGTTAAGGACAGAGCCCTTACTTCCTCACTCCCCTACTTCCTCTTCACTCCCAGGGGTAAGGTGGAGAATTCTGGAACAATTCCCAGGGTCTGATTTCCCACCCAAAAAAGTCTTCTGGGGAGAATCTGTCAACTTGGGGAAATTGGGCCTTCAGTGGTTAGAGCACCTGGTGCCTGGCACCAGCGGTCATTGAGGGACAGGGTTCATGGGAGCCTCACCCACAGTAGAGAGAAGTCAGAGCAGAGACTGGGACGTTACCTCTTGATGCTGCATCTCTAGCCCTTTGTCTGACTCTTCGGTGATGCTTAAAGGCAAAAGACAGTGTGAAGCTGGGGTGCTCTCTTCTTTTCATGTCTAAACTGAGACAAAACCTGCAAATATTTCCCAAGCTTTTTCTGTGTTCCAATTTTACACATTCTCCTACCTTTCTTTTTCCTACTCTACCTTTTTCACACCATAATTTCCTTTCTCTTATTTCTGATTCATTTTTAGGCTCTTCATACTCCATACCTCCACCCCCATTCCCTGAACAAGTTCTGTGGAGAGATCAGGATAAGACAAGAGAAAGGGAGGAACGGTGGTACAGTAGCCAAAGAACCTTAGCCATCCAAGGCCCTAAATGTCCACCAACCAGAGGAATCACCCAAATATGAAGCTGTTCTGGGATCCAGTGAGGAAACTTATTCCATTAAAAAAAAAAAAAAAAAACAGGGGTAAGGGGTTAAGGGTAACAAGAGACAGTGAGGGGATAAAACCTTGTTTAAGGCTTAATTGGTTCAGTTGTGGTTATAGTGTTTCCCTACCCAGCAGCAGCTCCTGTTAGGTCCCAATCTTAAATCTTGATGATTCTTTCTCACTTGCCAAATAATTAATGCAATAATGATGATGGAACCGTAAGTGTAAAGAGGATATCCAACATCCCACAGAATAAAGGTAGGCCTCAACATAATCTAAACCTCACTAGCCATCCCCCTTTCTAGGCTTCCTAGGCTTTCAGGGTCTTAGAACCTAATGCCTCCAAATTCTAGACCTATCATCTCTGCCTCACAGAGCACAGAACCAGACCAGTAGACTGCATCACAAAGCCCTCCTGTTTCCCGTCATGCATAGCATCACAGACCTTTATTTGCCTAGGAGAAACTCATGTGACACAGTGCAGAGCCTGAGCCTAAAGGTGCCAAGTCACAGGAAGCAAATACTCTTTCATGCTCTATTCTCTATATCCTGTTGGTTCACCCTTCTTTCAGATAATAGTCTGGCATCTATCCCCAGATAATTGAGTCTTTATGTACACTGCATGCCCTAAAACAGAGACAGTGGCTACTGTCTCTCTTCATCCTACTACAAAGGAACTCCATGAACTATATCACCTGTACTGGGAAGATAACTAGAAAACACACAAGAGGACAGTGCACACATCGTCTTGTTAAGTCTTGGACAGTGAAGGTTTTGATGCCACAGGCAATAGGTAGTCAGTATCAAGAGGTTCAGGAAAAGAACAGTGATTGATGTGACAAGGAAAGGACATAGCTTCTGTTCTTTTAAATAACTTACTGAAGAGTTAAAGAAGGAGTCCTCCCAGTCTCATCCCTAAGCTGGACAGTGTCAAAGGTACAAAGACATTTGAGTTATGTTACCTGCCTGCTCTCAAGACACTTAAAAACCTAGTTTCAAAGACAATATTAATTCACAATCAAGAACCCACCTTATTAAGAGTTGAATCAAGAACCAGCCTTACTAGGAGTTGAGAAAGAGAGGTATAGGGAGTTATTTAATGGGTACAAAGTTTCTGTATGGGATGATGAAAAAGTTCTGAAAATGGATGGTGGTGATGGTTGCACAGCACTGTGAATGTCCTTAATGTCAGTGACAAGTACACTTAAAAGTGGTTAAAATAGTAAAGTTTATATTGAGTATATTTTACCACAATTTAAAAAACAAAAGGCCAAGAAAACCCAATTGTTAGCATGAGGGGGTTTTTTGCAACCTATAAGGAAGAATATTCTGAAAATAATTTGGCAAAATAATGGATTAGTGAATTTTTTCTTAAATGTCCTTTTCTACAGAACAAAATACATACAAAATAGATCCTTACATTTAAGATAATTTAAGAAGAGTCTCACCCTGAAGACGGGATGAATTTGAGCCATTTCAACATCTTTCCTGAACTTGTAAATTCCATAACACAGGAATGAGAAGACTTTTCCAACTAAAGAGCACTGAATGACAGGTTAACAATAATCAGTGAAAAAGCATCTTGCATCAGCTTTTTAGCAGTAGATCAAGATACGTACAAAGTGGCTTGAATCTTTTACCACTGTTGTTATTCCTACCAAACCAAGCTCCGGCTTCCTACAGCTGCTGCCGGCCTCTATGCTCCTGCAAAGGTTCTCAGTCTCCCGTTAATCTGACCCAGTATGGCACTGCGTGGTACTTGGGGTCCTCCTTCCTTGTACCATGAATGTAGGTAATTAATAAACTTCATTCAGTCTTATAGGTCCAGTGTCAGATGTTGCTCGTTCGGCCATCCCCAGAACCCCAGGGTTACCAATGGGATGAAGAGGAGGTGCATAGGACACTATATCTCCTACACAACCAGCTCCTGCTTCCTGCAGCTACTGCTGCAACACTGCTTAGTCTCCCATTAGCCTGACCTCTTTGCCCCAGACAAAATCACCAAATTTGGCAACACTGGCACCAGCTCCAACGAGTATACTATTTACTTAACAGATAATCCACAGCCACTGTCATCCCACTAAACTGTTAAAACCATATGCTGCAAACTGCTCTATAGCAACTTACCCACCCTTGCTCCTCCGTCTCAGAGCCGAGGTAGAGTCAAATGACAATCTTATGCCTTTCTGCAGAGTAGACTTTTAGTACTGGTTTATTTATTGATTTGGTACCCACTGACAGAGGGTGCTTGTGTGGATAGGACAGTGGGATCAGCGTCTTCCTAAACAAGGGCACATTCATGTAATGAACACACTATCGTTTTTCTTTTTTTAATGGATCATTTCTTTTTTCTTTAATTAATTTATTTAATCTATTTATTTTTGGCTGCGTTGGGTCTTCGTTTCAGTGAGCGGGCCCCTCATTGCGGTGGCTTCTCTTGTTGCAGAGCACGGGCTCTAGACGCGTGGGCTTCAGTAGTTGTGGCACGCGGGCTCAGTAGTTGTGGCTCGTGGGCCCTAGAGCACAGTCTCAGTAGCTGTTGCACACGGGCTTAGTTGCTCCGTGGCATGTGGGATCTTCCCGGACCAGGGATCGAACCTGTGTCCCCTGCATTGGCAGGCGGATTCTTAACCACTACACCACCAGGGAAGTCCACACACTGTCTTTTTTTTTTTTTTTAAACATCTTTATTGGAGTATAATTGCTTTACAATGGTGTGTTAGTTTCTGCTGTATAACAAAGTGAATCAGCTATACGTATACATATATCCCCATATCCCCTCCCTCTTGCATCTCCCTCCTACCTTCCTTATCCCTCCCCTCTAGGTGGACACAAAGCACCGAGCTGATCTCCCTGTGCTATGCGGCTGCTTCCCACTAGCTATTTTACATTTGGTAGTGTATATATATGTCCATGCCGCTCTCTCACCTCGTCCCAGCTTACCCTTCCCTCTCCGTCCCAGCTTACCCTTCCCCGTGTCCTCAAGTCCATTCTCTACATCTGCATCTTTATTCCTGTCCTGCCCCTAGGTTCTTCAGAACCAGTTTTTTTTGTTTTTTTTTTTTAGATTCCATATATATGTGTTAGCATACGGTATTTGTTTTTCTCTTTCTGACTTACTTCATCTGTATGATAGTCTCTAGGTCCATCCACCTCACTACAAATAACTCAATTTTGTTTCTTTTTATGGCTGAGTAATATTCCATTGTGTATATGTGCCACATCTTCTTTATCCAGTCATCTGTCGATGGACACTTAGGTTGCTTCCATGTCCTGGCTATTGTATATAGAGCTGCAATGAACATTGTGGTACATAACTCTTTTTGAATTATGATTTTCTCAGGATATATGCCCAGTAGTGGGATTGCTGGGTGGTATGGTAGTTCTATTTTTAGTTTTTTAAGGAACCTCCATGCTGTTCTCCATAGTGGTTGTATCAATTTACATTCCCACCAACAGTGCAAGAGGGTTCCCTTTTCTCCACACCCTCTCCAGCATCTACTGTTTGTAGATTTTTTGATGATGGCCACTGTTGTTTTTAATGATGTGGGCATGGACCTTCAGCTTTGCCCTTCCTGCCTCATGGTTTATCGTGAACGGCAAACAAGGGAGATGAAGTACATCAAAGGCCTCTGTGGACTCTGGAGGGCTACGCAACTGTAAAGGATTCAGATTCGTCTGTTTCTAGAAAACTTGCTAAAGCTGGACCCTGCTTGCATGATAATGCTACAGTGCCACAATTACTGTAATAGTAGAATTTCTGCAGGAAACTGTTCATGATTACTGATTCATATGCACCATGGGTCATATCACAGCCCGATAAAGAAAAATCCTGACAGGACACTGATGTGATTTTTTTCCTCCACACAAGCCTTACTTAGGAGTTGTGCTGTGTCTCATTCTCAGAAAACACTAGTGAATACCTTAGATGTCTCAGGTGATGGGGACAGAGGCATAGCTGCTTCCATTCAGAAGCAACATTTTTTATATGCTAGCATTTTTATTAATGCCCAAGAGTTGGACAGGAAGAGTTGGACACACCCCAGAGTAGTATCTGCAAGACCACCAGCGCTTCACAGCAGGTTACTACGCTACATAGAAGTGTAGCAAGCAGCTAGAGGCACTAGAGGGCAGCACTTGCCCACCCAATGAGTCCCGAGGACTCCGTTTCAGGTACTTTAAAAGGCCATCTGTTCCAGTGGCTCTCAATCCTGGCCTTACATCAGAATCACTGGGAAGCTTGTGAAAATATACATTTCCTGGCCTCACCCCAGACTCAATGAATCAGAATCTCTAGGGGCACAGTCTTTCAATCTATGTATTAAATAAATGTCAAAAATAATCCTCAAGCAATAGAGCACTGGGCTTTGGGGTGTGTATTGGGAAGCAAATGGCCTCCAAAGAGCAACAATTCTTCCTCCCACCCAAGTTTTACTGAGATATCATTGGCACATAACATTGTATTAGTTTAAGGGGAACACCATAATAATTTGATGTATGTAGGTATTGTGAAATGGTTACCACAATAAGTTTAGTTAACATCCATCACCTCAGAGTTATAATTTTTTTCTTGTAATAAGAACTTTTAAATTCTACTCTTTCAGCAACTTTCAAATATATCAACTACAGTCACCAGGCTATACATTAGACCCCCAGAACTTATTAATCTTATAACTGGCATTTTGTCCCTTTTGATCACCTTCATCCCTTTCTCCCACCCCCACTCCCTGACACTGGCAACCACCAATCTGTTTTGTTTGAATGAGTTTGGTGTTTTTTTTAGATTCCATATATAAGTGAGATCACATAATATTTGTCTTTCTCTGTCTGACTTACTTCACTTAGCATAATGCTGTCAAGGTCCATCCGTGTTGTTGCAAATGGCAGGATTTCCTTATTTTTTATGGCTGAAAAATATTCCATATCATCTTCTTTATCCATTCATCTGTCAATGGATGCTTAGGTTGTTTCCATGTCTTAGCTATTATAAATAATGCTGCAATGAGCATGCGTGTACAGGTATCTCTTGGAGATAGTGATAGCACTTCCTTCAGATATATAACCAGAAGTGGGATTGCTGGATGAAATTTGAAGCAACTATCTGTGGATGATGTTATTAAAAAAAATTCTCCTATAATAGGTGAGTTTGGCCATCTCTGGCAATGACCTAACTTAGACAGTGATCTGTAAATGGAAGTTAAGAATTCAGGAACACAAGGAAGAAAGGAGAATTGACCCTGAGAAAAAGTACTATGTGCCAGGCTCTTTACAC